GAAAAATGAATATACACATATATCCAAAATCCCACATTGCCTCCCAAAAATAAAAGGAGTGAATTAATATAGATAAAGCCCAATTAACGAAATGGTACACAAAATGTAGACTTGATAAAAAACACAAAAATGTGTTGTTGTTGTGTGTTTTTTTTTTTAAGATTAATAACATAGAGAAAATGTTGGCTAGCATGATTGGAAACAAAGAAGCACAAACAAATAAACAATATCCTCTCAATGAGACTTCAACAATGTCAGGGATGAGAAGGTAAGGAGACACGGCAGTGTTTTAGGAGCCCGCGAGTGTTTTAGGGAGGCTTATTCTGGGTAGATGTGAAAAGTTCTGGAAACAATACCTCTTGTTGGGATTGGGGTTTTCGGAAAGTTCCTTGAGATTTCACAGAGCTGAGATCTGAAGAAACGGCTGCTTTTAGAATGGAGAGTAGAAAAGGAATCAAAGCTAGAGTTTTAACTTCTTAGGTGATTTTTCTCTTTTGACTATGGAAGAAATAATTTGGTGGAATGTTTACAATTCTTTAATGCTTCTTCTACAGAACTCCATTTAGATTCCCCCTGTCAGTTGGTGGAGCCTGTGCTGTGGATGGTGTGAAACCTCCCCTGCCCCCACCTGTAAAGGCTGATGTCAGACAAGTAAGCCAACATCACGTGGAAGGTGAAAAAAGGCCAGCAGCAAAGTGAGGTGTGATTTCCTATGGAACAGAGCAGATGGTCCGGCACAATCAGGAAATTCAGCAGATAAGTGAACAGCACGTGCATGTTTTACATAATAGACCATGAACCTAGGGAACCTCAATATTTCATTATTTTCCATAGTTTTCTGTAACTAGGGGCATGCCCAATCGAAAGGTTTACTGCCAGACTACCTTCTAAAAAGGGTATATCAATTCAAACTCTCCAAGCATTTCCCTATCTTTACAAACCTAGGGAATCATGTTTAAATAATACTTAAAAGTTATTCGACTTGATAGGCAAAAAAACATCTAAATTTAGACAGAATTTTTTCTTCTGTCTGGTATTATCTATGGAAACAGTTTCTAAATATTCAGTCTTTTTCCACTTGGAAAACAAAACTGTGGAAAGCAGAAGGAACCGCTCCCATTCCCCCAAGCAAATTACATGTTTAAATAATTCACGCAGACAAATGAACTGGCACAGACCAAACAGTGGCCAAATGTTTCCACCCCAGAAACTCTGCTTCCTAGACTCCACACAGGGGGATTGGGTATGTTTTTACCTTGCGCTGCTCTGCAGAGCCCCACGGCGGCGACGAACCAAATCAGTCTGTAGGCAGACAGATGACACAAGAGCCAGCTGAACACCTGAAGACAGAAAGCAAGGCACAAAAATGGGCATTTGGATGTGGACAGGAAGCTCAGGAAGCTTCCATCTCATCGCGACCGCTGAAGTTTTAACCACCAGAGAACTTTGGCTTTGAGGATGCAGAGCCGGGGACTATAAATGGACGAAGTAAAAGACTGCTCAGGATATGGGAAGGGAAAAGCTACTGCGTGGCTCCCCCATTTTGGCTTTCCCTAGCAATTTGAGGCCTTGCTCTCAAAGCCACTATTGTCAAGAGCAAGGTCTCAAAGACCTAGGATGGTGGGGGGCGGAGGGGGGCGGAAGAAACTGCCATAAATACACACAGAAAACACAGAGACTACAATTGTGAGAAACCATCTACTTCTCAACTACTCCACATCTGGTAACATTAAAAATGTAACTCAGGGGTCATCACCTTTCAGAAGGACGTGACTGACTGCCTTGAAGTTTGCTGAAGTAATTTTTCCCTGCAAATTCTGCTAATTTTATGAGTTGTACCTTTTAAAAAACAGTAATTGTTTTTTCATTGTTCCATGTGTCCAGGCATAAATCCCTGGCATTTTTACATGGTGATATTTAATTAAATGTTATGCTGGGTATCATTTTACTATAAAACAAGAGGGCAGGATGGAGACAGATTAACTTCTCTCTACAGTAGCCCCATGGATTCATTCTACATGTCTGGGTGCATTGTAAGGGGTACGGGCAAGAAATGTAACTTTTCCCTACATTTTTCTGTGATAGAGAAATGTGGGTGTCTCTGAATTTTTCTTTAACTAAAGTTCATTGTTATTTCACATTGCTATTTCAGCTAGACGTAGAGACTTGATTTCAGTCAAGGTCACATAATCTCTGTCAGTTCAGCCCTCTGCCACCCCAAGCACTTCACAAGTGCCCTAATCTCAGGCATTGCATCTCCAATTCCTAGAGGCTCACACAATACCAAGCCATGGGACAGGGCTGCTAAGCCTTGGTTACAGCCATCTATCCATGGTGCCATTCTCTAAGATGGCCATGTTCCCCTGAAGGCATCATGGTCACAGCAATTAAACAATTAAACCTCGTGCTTATAATGTCTTCTCTTTTGTTCTGATTCCGTGCTCCTGGATTCTCCCTGTGCCCAGCAAAGAGACATTCTGCAAGCTCTCTGCCTAGACTCCCATGTATCAATCTATCTCTTGTCTCACCGTTCACTTGTCGCGATGGGGAGGCTGGTCTCTTTCCACAGTTTCCCCCAGGAAAGCAAGGCACAGGCGTTTTGTGTTCTTGGATTTCAACACCTCCCTGTAACTCTATTTACCATCCTCCTGAACTCCCCATTCACAAAAGGGACCAGGCACAGGGCCACCTTTTCAGAACGCAAATTTGTGTCAGAATATAGACTTCAGTTAGTCTCTCTTTGCTCTCCTAGCCTAGAAAATATTTACTTCCACTAGGGTCGGGAAAGCTGTTTCCTCCATCACCCTGCATTCCTTCCATCTGGAATACCATATGTCCTGGGGTTTTCGGCATATTTAGGCTTTAAAAACTCAAACGTTTAGGCTTTTGCTATATCAACACCTTGGCTTCTGAAATCAAAAAGTCTTCTTTGCCATTCTAATTCCAAGTCATTTTTTTCTAAACCATATGCTTCTCTCTCACATGGGAATCAAAAGCAAGATGATGAGAAATGCAGAATGGATTGACTCTCATAGTGAAAATCTGTATTTTGGGATAAGAGAGAAAACAGATACACACCAAAACACAGTTTGTGAGCTGGGAGCCAACAATATTTTTAAGAAGCAAAATGCAATGATTGAGACAAGAGAATTAGGAGGAAAGCCCTGCTATTACATACATGCATAATTATTTTGGCTGATGAGCTGGGGTTAGCACAAATCCCAGATGCATGAGCCATGACAAATGACTTTACCTCTCCAAGATGTGGGCAAAATAACAGCACCAAATCCTTTTATTAAAAAGACTACACAAGCAACATGGATGGACCTTGAGGGTGTTATGCTGAGCGAAATAAGTCAGGCAGAGAAGGACAAATACCATATGTTTGCACGTATAGGAGGATTAGGAGGAACTTGACGGAGGAACAAGGGGGAGAAGAAGGGGGGAAATGGTGGGGGAAAGGGAGAGAGGCAAACCATGAGAGACTCTTGAATGCTGACAAAAACTGAGGACTGATGGATGTGGGGGGGAGGGGGGGATGGGCATGGAGGAGGGCACTTTGGGGATGAGCACTGAGTGTTATGTAGAAACTAATTTGACAATAAACTATTTGTAAAAAAAAAAAAAAAAAAAAAAGACTACACAAAGTAGTACACGTAAAAGGCCCAGAATAATGAGTCCTACAGATAAGCCCTGAGTGAATAGTTATTATTTCACTGAGTTGCCATGTGAATTACGGTTTTAAAGCACTTAACACAGTGCCTTAGTAAATGACAAGACATGCTAGATAACTAAAAAACAAAACAAAATATTAACCAAATCATATATGGGGATACAAACATGAAAACTGGAGAAATCCACTACCCTTGCCAACAAAGCCAAGGTTTACAAAGCCCTGGTCTTAACTGTCGCCTTGCCTGTCAGCCAACTGCTCCCACACATGCCTCTTTCCCTAAGCTTCTGGGTCCAAATCCTTATGCTACCACATGCAGTCACATGGACATGTAAAAATTAACCTCTTTTGTTCCCTTACTTGTAAAGTCACATAATAATTCCTTCTTTGAAGGCTGTGAAGATTAGCAGCGTCCGGCGCAAGACTAAAAACTAGCTCGCAGGCCACCATATTCCTTTGTTAAGATACCAAAATGCCTGGCTGTGTGGTCTTGCCAGTAAACTACATATGAAAAAAATTACCTTGAGGTATTACTTATATTGGGGTTTTAAGGGTTTTTTTATTAATCGTTATTACTTCTTTTCATTATACCAGTGTAAATAAAAAGCCTCTCATTCAGTCGGTAAACAGATCCTGAATAAACAAAGGGTCTGGCTTTCTTGGATACCCTGGGGTTTAACCCTGATTCATCTGGTCCTTTATGGCTCCCAAGGCAAAGGGACCGGAGGATGGAGACGGAGGCCGGGGTATCCAAGGAGGGAGCGAGCTTTCGCAAGAGAGCGAGCCTTAAATCTTGCAGCCCCATCCCAACTTTGGGTGCCAAGACGGAGGAGCCATAACAGCCCCCGCCACCCCTTTCTTGGGACAGCGCACAACAGAAGGTGCTTTGCTGCCTTCCAGCCGCGGCCAGAAAGCCGGGCCGCCCGCCTGCCCCGAGCAGCCGCCGGCCGCAGCGCGCCTCCCCGCCCAGTGCTCCGAACGAGACGCGTGTCGGAGCCCCAGCCTGGCAGCATCCTTCTTCCAGAACACGGGGGCAGGGACCCGGGCCGCCGGGAACGGCCTGTAGACCTCCCTTCCGAAGGCGAACTCCGCTCCGCCACCAGGTCAAGCGCGGCGGGCCCGGCGCCCGCAGGAACCGCAGCGCCGAGCCGGACCCCGGCGAGCCGCAGCCCCGCGCCCTCGGCCCGCCGCCACCCCGGGGCCGCGCGCGCGACCTCGCCCACCCCGCGCCCGCCCGCCCGCCCGCCCGGCCCGGCTCACCGGCCCCTCCATCGTCGCTCCCGGCCACGCGCGATTGCCGGCTTCGGCTGGAAAGCCCGGGGGAATCTCACCGCAGCAGGCCGTGGGCCTGCAGCCCGGCGGCCAGAGGAGGCGGGCGGGTCCCCGCCCAGACACCGAGCTGCCGCTGCAATCCTGGCCCCCGCAGCGGCCCCCGCAGCCACGCCCACGAGCAGGAGCCGGCCCCGCGGGGTTTCCAGTCTTGTGGGCAATTAAAATTTCCCATCCTAAACACGGTACATTTGTCAGAGGTGGCAGTTGGGGAAACTCAGAGTGTTGGGAAAAAAAATACACTCTTTCCATTTCCATTCAGACGCAGGGTGAGGAAATGGGGGGAGGTGGGGAGACAGCGATCGTTGCGTTCTCACTCGGAAGTATGGCAGTCTGCAGTATTCAGCAGGTGTTAATCCACAAAACGAGGTGAAACCGAAAAAGAACAAAGGCTTTTTTTACTGGGGACTTGGAATTGCAATTCGGGGAGCACAGGTTTCAGAAAGCCGAAAAACTGTTGCTCTGGTAGGGCGAGCAAAAGGGGGATTATGCGAAAGAAGGGGTAATTGCATGTCGTAGACAAAGAAGGTAAGGAGAAAAGATGCTAATTTGGTGCTGACCAGTTGAGCCACTTCTGATAACCATCTGATTATTTTATCGCTGCTGTCAAATTAAACTGTCCCTACTAAGTGTTAATTAACTTTACTGTCTTCATATGACCTGAATGCCAGTTGCTCTGTTGAAATTTAACTGCTTGCAAAGCTATTGCCGCCGAACTTCACCAATAGGCACTTTAAAAAACAAATGTACATTTATTTTTTTATCCAAAATCAAATTATATATTCAGGCAATCAATTTATCCAGTATCAAATAATACATTCAAGCACCGAATTCTGTAATGATCTCTTCTTTCATGATGTGACTTTTTTTTTTCCACTTGAATTGATGATGAGAAGTCTTCTTATTTTACCAAGTTCCAGAGTTCTTGGCTCTTAGGGAGAGAGAAGGAGAGAGAGAAATCAATGAACTGTTCACCTTCTGAAGTCCTTCTGTTTTCCTAGGACCATCCTTTGACAAGACGCTAGGAAAAAGCTTTTACTTAAGGATCCATTGTGGCTGTAAATCTGAGGGCTGTAAGTAATACTATAATGACTGGATTTTTCCAAACAGGTACATGAAGTACACATTTCGAAAGGATTAAACGACTCATGGACTGCCAAAGGAGAGAGCTGATATATATATATATATATATATATATATATATATATATATATATATATATATAGTGGTGACATGAGATTGAGAAAATCAAGGAGAGAGAGCTAAAAACTTCAAAACTGAAGAGAGACACATAAAAGAAAAAGGATCAAAGTGATGTTAAATGTCAGAAGGCAGTGCCAAATGCAAGAAGTCAATGAGATAATGTTCATATTAGAGAAAAATAACTTTTCTTTCTTTCTTTCTTTTTTTTAATTTTGAGAGTGAAAAAGAGAGAACGAGTAGGGGAGGGGAGCGGGAGAGACAGAATCCCAGGCAGGCTTCCCGCTGTCAGCGCCCAGCCCAATGTGGGGCTTGAACTCACGACCCTGAGATCATGACCTGAGCCAATATCAAGAGTCAACACTTAACCGACTGAGCCATGCAGGCGCTCCTAAGGAAAAACAACTTTGAATTCCGCTTTGGATGAACACTGCTACAGAAGTATATTTAAAATTTTTTTTTCATAAAATGTATCATTTGTAGAGAAAACTTGTGAAAACGTCACAAGTATACAACTTGAAGTGTCATAGAGTAAACATACTTACATAGCCAGAAGCAGTTCAAAAACTGTATATTACCAGCTCTCCAGAGCTGTCACTACTACCCTCCATCTCTTCTACTTTTAACCTCTTAGAGGAAGCCTACTTGCTGGTGAACTTCCTATAAATGGTATCAAAGACTATGTCCTCATTTTGCCTGGGTTCTTTCACTCAACAGTAGGTTTGAAGAAGTTTTTCTTGTTATTGCATATAGTTGGGGTTCATTCATTCTCTCTGCTATAGACTGTCCATTCTGTAAATACTATATACCACATTTATTTCTCTATGCTACCGTTAATGGACATTTATTTCCAGGTTAGGGTTATTTTTAATAGTGGTGCTATAAATACGCTTATAAATGACTTTTTGTGGACGTACATATACCATTCTGTTAGATTTTTTTTTTGCCAGCTATATCTTTTCCTATCACTTTATTTTTAATTTTTCTTTATTGTTTTTTTCTCAAGTATGCAGATATTTTGCTGGACCTAAATTTCTAAAATCTATGGGAAGACTCTCTTCTATATTCTGTGAACAAAATGTTATAAAGTTTTAGGATAAAAAAAGGTTTTTGTAAAGCTTTATATACATTTATATAATTCTCATAAAATTTATTCCATCAAAACTCTCCTTGAGAACACTTTCAAAAGAAGTATTTTAGATAAAAAGGAACATGAACCCAGAAGGATGCAACATAGAAAGATACATAGACAAGATAAATAATTCATCAAAATTTATAATTGCCCCCAAACATATTTCCCTATATAAAATAATTGAATAATTCAAACCTACATAGAAGGAGGAAAGGAGATCATGGGAGGTAGGTGAGAATTATGGCAAATTGTACATGTTTAAGAACTGATATTATAAAATAAATATAAGCATTGTCCTTAGTAAGTTAGGAGAGAACATCAGTAGACTAAGCATAAAATATAACTGAAGGTAACAAAAGAATATTTAACCCAATGACAGATACTATGGGAGAAAAAAAGAAGAATATCACTGAAATGAAATATAAATTTAAGGATAAAATGGAAAAAATGTCCTATTATATATGTCACTAACTACAACATGTACAACTAGGTTAAAAATGCAAAAGATAGAAACTTAGAACACGAAAGAGTGAATCAGGGGGAAAAAATCCCCGCCATTACGAAGTATATTTATTGCTTTCAAACTTCTTTGGAGAAGAAAAAATGTGCTTACATAAAATTAACATTTTGCAAAAAAAGAGGAAAATGACATTTAAAATTCTAGGACAGGGGCATCTGGGTGACTCAGTCAGTGTCAGCTGAGCAATCTGACTCTTGATTTTAGCTCAGGTCATGATCCTAGGGCCGTGGGATCAAGTCCTATGTTGGGCTCCGCACTGAGACTGGAGCCTGCTGATAAAACTAAAGGCAAAAATCAATTAGAAGGAACAAAGTTGAATGAACATAAAAGGGTTTTTGTCTAGAAATTAAATGAACAAATCTGTGGCAAAAATTGCTAAGACAGTTCAAAATAAAAAGAAATAATATAAAATGAAAAATGAGAACTAGCACTGATAAAACAAATAGAAAAAGTACGACAATATTAGGAACATCCTTATCAATTTGAAAACACAAAATGGACAAAATTCTGAAAGTGACAAATTGGTCACAAAAATGTAATAACTGACACTTTAACAATATTAAGTCTTCAATACATGAATTTGGGATGTTGTCCCATTTGCTGTGTTTTCTCTAATTTCGTTAGTTAATATTTTTAATTAATTTATTTTTAGTAATCTCTGCACCCAACGTGGGTCTCGAACTCATGACATCAAAAGTCACATGCTCTTTTGACTGAGCTAGCCAGGCACCCCTCATTTTTGTTTTATAGTTGTCAGTATGCCAGTCTTTCACCTCCTTTGTTAGTTTTATTCCTAAGTATTTTATTTCTTTTGGTGTTACTGTAAATGGAATTGTTTCTTCTAATTTCCTCTACAGGCAGTTCATTGTGTGTGTAGAAACACAATTGATTTTTGTATGTTGATTTTTTATACTCTGACTTCAGTGGATTCATTTATTTGTTCTACGTTTTTTATGGAGTCTGGGATTTTGTATATAGAAGATCATGGCATCTTCAAACAAGGACAGTTTTACTTCTTCCTTACTGATTTCTATGTTTTTTTTTCTTCTTGACTAATTACTGAACTAAAACTTCCAGTATTTCCAGTGCTATGTTAAATAGAAGTGGCAAAAGTGAGCACTCATGCTTTGTTCTTGATCATAGAGGGCAACCTTTCAGTGTTTCACTGTTGGAGGTGTTGTTAGCTATGGGTTTTTCATATATGACATTTAATATGTTGAGATACATATTCCTTCTATTCCTACTTTGTTCAAAATTTTTATCATGAAAGTACATTGAATTTTTTCCAAATGCTTTTCCTACAGGTATTGAGATGATGATGTGATTTTTAGCCTTTATTGAATTAATATGGTGTATTGTACTAATTAACTTTCAGATGTTGAATTATCTTTGCATCCCAGAGATAAATCCCACTTGGTCATGGTGCGTGTGCCTTTGAATATGCTACTGGATTCAGTTTGCTAGTATGTTGTTGAAGATTTTTGCATCTATATTTGTAGGAATATTGGCTGGTAGCTGTGTTTTTATTTCTGTTTTCTTGTGATGTCTTTGGCTTTGGTATCAAGGTAATCTTGGTTTCAAAAAATGAGTTTGGAAGTGTTCCCTCCCCTTCAATTGTTTAAAGGAGTTTGAGAAGCATTGGCATTAACTCTTGTTAAAACTCTTTTTTAATATTTTACTTATTTTTGAGACACACACAGAGCACGAATGGGGGAGGGGCAGAGAGAGAGGGAGACACAGAATCTGAAACAGGTACCAGGCTCTGAGCTGTCAGCACAGAGCCTGACACGGGGCTTGAATACATGAACCGTGAGATCATGACCTACGCCAAAGTTGGACGCTCAACTGACTGAGCCACCCAGGCACCCCAATTCTTGTTTAAAGGTTGATAGAATTCACTAGTGAAACCATGTCATCCTGGATTTTTCTCAGTTGAAAATTTTTGATTTCTGATTTACTCTCCTTACTAGTTATAGGTCTATTCAGACTTTTCTACTTCTTCAAGGTTTAATCATGGTAGGTTATATTTTTCTGGGAATTTATCCATTTCTTCCAGGTACCCAGGTTGTAAATTTGTAAGTGTTCATAGTAGTCTTTTATGATCCTTTTTATTTATGTGGCTTTAGTCTCTTCTTTCATTTCTGATTTTATTTATTTGAGCCTTCGCCCTTTTTTTCTTAGTTTACCTAATGGTTTACCAATTTTGTTTACCCTTTCAAATGACCAACTCTTAGTTCTGTTAATTTTTTCTATTATTTTTCTTTTTTTGTTGTTGTTTCGATTTCATGTATTTGTGCT